CATTCAACCTTCACCATGTACACAATATCTCCTCACTGTCCAATAAAATACAAGCTAACCAAATCGAAATTAGTCATCAACAGTACTCATTGTCAACGTGAGCTACAAATCTTGTCTACTATTTCGTACATATTTCAAGCTTCATAGACACTTGGAAAGAACTGTTTTAAACCACACGATTTATGTACCGCGTTTCGAGAACATACAAAACCCCAGTGAATGATTCTAATACCCCCTCCGTCTATCAACTCGAAAGGTCTCTTCTATGCATGTCTACCCACTGACTTCTGGCGTCATTATCTCTCTTACCTGGTGTCGGTGTCTCACAGAGCTCTAAATTCGGAGCTTCACCACTTGAGTACATAGCTATCAACACGCCTTCAACCTAGGAATCTAGAATAGAGGAATTAACTCTATCGACAATGCACAGTGCACCACAATCATCAGCCTCACGACTAAGTATTAAACCGTGACAGAATCGAGGCTAGTAGCTGATACTGGACCACCTAAGATAAGGTCTCCATAGTGAACACTGTTTCTCAGAGGCGCTGGCTTGTGATTTCACATCATCATCAGTAAGCTGAGAAGGATCTCACCAATAACAAAATACAATACTGCTTGCATCAGAATATTAAGGCGTGATGGTGAGAACTCGCACGTCAAATGGAAGTAAACAGCGCGTGTGGAACTAGTGAGGAGCTGTTGAATCAGTAGTCTAGTCTTCGAAATCCATATATTAGAGAAGTAATCATTGAGTCTCTTGACATTAGGACTGCATTTGATTCGTTCGAAACAACCTCCCTTCGAAATGACTGTCAACGAGCAGTCTCCATGTGAGGTTTATTGACATCTCTAACATCCAATACAAAATCACCGAAGACAGAGTAGGGGAAAGGATTGACGACGTCGTCACTCCTCCTCAACTCTTCTATCGCTGGAACTCTGAAGAATGGAGATCTCGTAGTTGAAAAAGACCATTCAACCTTCACCATGTACACAATATCTCCTCACTGTCCAATAAAATACAAGCTAACCAAATCGAAATTAGTCATCAACAGTACTCATTGTCAACGTGAGCTACAAATCTTGTCTACTATTTCGTACATATTTCAAGCTTCATAGACACTTGGAAAGAACTGTTTTAAACCACACGATTTATGTACCGCGTTTCGAGAACATACAAAACCCCAGTGAATGATTCTAATACCCCCTCCGTCTATCAACTCGAAAGGTCTCTTCTATGCATGTCTACCCACTGACTTCTGGCGTCATTATCTCTCTTACCTGGTGTCGGTGTCTCACAGAGCTCTAAATTCGGAGCTTCACCACTTGAGTACATAGCTATCAACACGCCTTCAACCTAGGAATCTAGAATAGAGGAATTAACTCTATCGACAATGCACAGTGCACCACAATCATCAGCCTCACGACTAAGTATTAAACCGTGACAGAATCGAGGCTAGTAGCTGATACTGGACCACCTAAGATAAGGTCTCCATAGTGAACACTGTTTCTCAGAGGCGCTGGCTTGTGATTTCACATCATCATCAGTAAGCTGAGAAGGATCTCACCAATAACAAAATACAATACTGCTTGCATCAGAATATTAAGGCGTGATGGTGAGAACTCGCACGTCAAATGGAAGTAAACAGCGCGTGTGGAACTAGTGAGGAGCTGTTGAATCAGTAGTCTAGTCTTCGAAATCCATATATTAGAGAAGTAATCATTGAGTCTCTTGACATTAGGACTGCATTTGATTCGTTCGAAACAACCTCCCTTCGAAATGACTGTCAACGAGCAGTCTCCATGTGAGGTTTATTGACATCTCTAACATCCAATACAAAATCACCGAAGACAGAGTAGGGGAAAGGATTGACGACGTCGTCACTCCTCCTCAACTCTTCTATCGCTGGAACTCTGAAGAATGGAGATCTCGTAGTTGAAAAAGACCATTCAACCTTCACCATGTACACAATATCTCCTCACTGTCCAATAAAATACAAGCTAACCAAATCGAAATTAGTCATCAACAGTACTCATTGTCAACGTGAGCTACAAATCTTGTCTACTATTTCGTACATATTTCAAGCTTCATAGACACTTGGAAAGAACTGTTTTAAACCACACGATTTATGTACCGCGTTTCGAGAACATACAAAACCCCAGTGAATGATTCTAATACCCCCTCCGTCTATCAACTCGAAAGGTCTCTTCTATGCATGTCTACCCACTGACTTCTGGCGTCATTATCTCTCTTACCTGGTGTCGGTGTCTCACAGAGCTCTAAATTCGGAGCTTCACCACTTGAGTACATAGCTATCAACACGCCTTCAACCTAGGAATCTAGAATAGAGGAATTAACTCTATCGACAATGCACAGTGCACCACAATCATCAGCCTCACGACTAAGTATTAAACCGTGACAGAATCGAGGCTAGTAGCTGATACTGGACCACCTAAGATAAGGTCTCCATAGTGAACACTGTTTCTCAGAGGCGCTGGCTTGTGATTTCACATCATCATCAGTAAGCTGAGAAGGATCTCACCAATAACAAAATACAATACTGCTTGCATCAGAATATTAAGGCGTGATGGTGAGAACTCGCACGTCAAATGGAAGTAAACAGCGCGTGTGGAACTAGTGAGGAGCTGTTGAATCAGTAGTCTAGTCTTCGAAATCCATATATTAGAGAAGTAATCATTGAGTCTCTTGACATTAGGACTGCATTTGATTCGTTCGAAACAACCTCCCTTCGAAATGACTGTCAACGAGCAGTCTCCATGTGAGGTTTATTGACATCTCTAACATCCAATACAAAATCACCGAAGACAGAGTAGGGGAAAGGATTGACGACGTCGTCACTCCTCCTCAACTCTTCTATCGCTGGAACTCTGAAGAATGGAGATCTCGTAGTTGAAAAAGACCATTCAACCTTCACCATGTACACAATATCTCCTCACTGTCCAATAAAATACAAGCTAACCAAATCGAAATTAGTCATCAACAGTACTCATTGTCAACGTGAGCTACAAATCTTGTCTACTATTTCGTACATATTTCAAGCTTCATAGACACTTGGAAAGAACTGTTTTAAACCACACGATTTATGTACCGCGTTTCGAGAACATACAAAACCCCAGTGAATGATTCTAATACCCCCTCCGTCTATCAACTCGAAAGGTCTCTTCTATGCATGTCTACCCACTGACTTCTGGCGTCATTATCTCTCTTACCTGGTGTCGGTGTCTCACAGAGCTCTAAATTCGGAGCTTCACCACTTGAGTACATAGCTATCAACACGCCTTCAACCTAGGAATCTAGAATAGAGGAATTAACTCTATCGACAATGCACAGTGCACCACAATCATCAGCCTCACGACTAAGTATTAAACCGTGACAGAATCGAGGCTAGTAGCTGATACTGGACCACCTAAGATAAGGTCTCCATAGTGAACACTGTTTCTCAGAGGCGCTGGCTTGTGATTTCACATCATCATCAGTAAGCTGAGAAGGATCTCACCAATAACAAAATACAATACTGCTTGCATCAGAATATTAAGGCGTGATGGTGAGAACTCGCACGTCAAATGGAAGTAAACAGCGCGTGTGGAACTAGTGAGGAGCTGTTGAATCAGTAGTCTAGTCTTCGAAATCCATATATTAGAGAAGTAATCATTGAGTCTCTTGACATTAGGACTGCATTTGATTCGTTCGAAACAACCTCCCTTCGAAATGACTGTCAACGAGCAGTCTCCATGTGAGGTTTATTGACATCTCTAACATCCAATACAAAATCACCGAAGACAGAGTAGGGGAAAGGATTGACGACGTCGTCACTCCTCCTCAACTCTTCTATCGCTGGAACTCTGAAGAATGGAGATCTCGTAGTTGAAAAAGACCATTCAACCTTCACCATGTACACAATATCTCCTCACTGTCCAATAAAATACAAGCTAACCAAATCGAAATTAGTCATCAACAGTACTCATTGTCAACGTGAGCTACAAATCTTGTCTACTATTTCGTACATATTTCAAGCTTCATAGACACTTGGAAAGAACTGTTTTAAACCACACGATTTATGTACCGCGTTTCGAGAACATACAAAACCCCAGTGAATGATTCTAATACCCCCTCCGTCTATCAACTCGAAAGGTCTCTTCTATGCATGTCTACCCACTGACTTCTGGCGTCATTATCTCTCTTACCTGGTGTCGGTGTCTCACAGAGCTCTAAATTCGGAGCTTCACCACTTGAGTACATAGCTATCAACACGCCTTCAACCTAGGAATCTAGAATAGAGGAATTAACTCTATCGACAATGCACAGTGCACCACAATCATCAGCCTCACGACTAAGTATTAAACCGTGACAGAATCGAGGCTAGTAGCTGATACTGGACCACCTAAGATAAGGTCTCCATAGTGAACACTGTTTCTCAGAGGTGCTGGCTTGTGATTTCACATCATCATCAGTAAGCTGAGAAGGATCTCACCAATAACAAAATACAATACTGCTTGCATCAGAATATTAAGGCGTGATGGTGAGAACTTGCACGTCAAATGGAAGTAAACAGCGCGTGTGGAACTAGTGAGGAGCTGTTGAATCAGTAGTCTAGTCTTCGAAATCCATATATTAGAGAAGTAATCATTGAGTCTCTTGACATTAGGACTGCATTTGATTTGTAGCGGTAAATAATTCCCCAAAATTATTGACCACAGCAATCACTCATTGGATGCTGACCACCACTGTTTAAGTCGACTTGTTTAGCTGAAGGCTTCCGGTCAAGCATCCCCGCCATTTGGTACCCCGTCGTGTAACGTGCACGATCACTAGCTAGCTAAGCGTTCGTCTAACGGCTGGTTTTGGTTCGTAAATACATCTCTTCGTTTGGACGATCAATTATTGGCTTTTGCTTTGTCTTTGGTACGCGAGAATAAATTAATTAGAAGTTGTTGAACGAGATATCACGTCAAACCTTTAATATCCACCAACCTCTAAACTGGTGAGCCCGACCGCGAACTTCACCCACGATAAATCCGCCCACCTTTAAACTGGTGAGCCCAACCGCGAACTTCATCCACGAAAATCCGCAGATAACCCCGGTGAGTTCGTTCCATTTTGTATTTGTTCTTGTACCATATATTATTCGACATAATTTTCGTCATGAGTGATCTTAGTCCCAAGGTCATCCGTATCCGCTCAACTCCTAAAACCATTCAGCTCGTACCATACTGGCCAGATAATGCTGAAACGTGGTTTCTGCTAGCTGAAGCAGATTTTTGTGAGCATGGGATAACTGATCAACGTTCACAGTTACTTGCAGTTATTCACGCCCTACCGCGGGAATTCAGCAAGTACGTAACATCACAGATGTTGAGTCCCGAGGTAAGTAACTCGTACGAGTTGCTGAAAGCATCCCTCCTCAGGAGAAACGCTCTCACGGACAGACAACGTCTAGATGAATTATTTCGCAACATCGAGTTAGGAGATCAGTCAGCCGTGAGCATGCTGACAAGAATGAAACAAGTCGTCGGCCAATGTCAGTTCGACGAAGGACTGTTTAGAGAACTCTTCTTAACCAAGTTGCCACAATCTGTACAGACCGTACTTGTGACACTTGAGGGTACTGTAATAGAGAACTTAGCTATTACTGCAGATAAGATCCTAGAAATAACTAAACGGTCTGTCCCCGAAATATGCTCAATGACTAAGCAGACTTCGAGTGAGGATCCTGCAATGACAGAGTTATGCAACTCCCTTCAGCAGATGTTTAGGTCAAACACACATTCTAAATCCTCCAACCGTCGTCCTAAATCTCCTCAACGCAGGAACTCGCGTGGTCGATCTAAGTCCAAACCACGTTCACTGAAAAACCCTGACTGGTGCTGGTACCACAACACCTATGGCCAAGAAGCGAAGTGTTGCCGTAAGCCTTGTAACTTCGGAAATGTCTCAAAGTCTGCGGGAAACTATCCCGCCGGCACGCGTTAGCGGCAACCGTCGCCGGTGGCACTAGCCGCCTACTTTACATCCATGATGTGATAAGCCAGACTCGATACTTAGTCGACACAGGCGCCGAAGTCAGCGTCCTTCCTGCTACAGCAGCAGATCGACAGAAGGAACCTACCTTCAACTTACAGGCTGCAAATGGAAAACCAATCGCAACCTTTGGTAGGAAATACGTCTATCTGAACGTAGGTTTACGCAAACCTATTCGGTGGATTTTCCTTCTCGCTGACGTTACAATGCCCATCATTGGCACGGACCTACTTAATCATCATGATTTACTCGTAGACGTCCGCCGAAAACGACTGATTGACAATACTACTAGTCTGTCTATCAAAGGCATTACCTACATAGGCCCTAGCTTGTCACCCGTTAAGATAAAGGCAATTCTTGATCCAACTTTTCAACCTATCGTTGACAAGTATCCGGAACTTAACTGCCCGTCGAACGACCTACCGTGCATAACCAGCAATGTTATGCACCACATCATTACCACAGGACAACCTGTGACATCTAAAGCACGACGATTAGCTCCTGACAAACTGAGAATCGCCAGGAATGAATTTGACCATATGCTTAGCCTTGGCATCATTCGACCTTCGAATAGCCCATGGGCATCCCCACTTCATATGGTTCCGAAAAAGGATAGCAACGATTGGCGACCCACCGGTGATTACCGGCGAGTGAATGCCAAAACAACCCCTGATTGCTACCCGTTGCCTCATATACACGACTTGACGGCAACCTTATCCGGCGCGACTATATTCTCCAAAATCGACTTGGTTAAAGCGTATAACCAAATCCCGATGGCAACAGAAGACATCCCGAAAACGGCTATCATTACGCCTTTCGGACTTTTTGAATTTCTACGTATGCCATTCGGTCTTCGGAATGCAGCCCAAACATTCCAACGCTTCATTGACGAAGTATTTCGCGGTCTCGACTTTGTATACGCATACTTAGACGACTGCCTCATTGCCAGTCCAGACAAGGAAACTCACCTTAGGCACTTGGACTTGGCATTTGACAGGTTACGCCAACATGGTGTTACCATTAATATTCAAAAGTGTCAAATCGGTGTTGACTCACTCGACTTCCTGGGTCACACTATTGACTGCAAGGGCATTCGCCCACTGGCTACTAAGGTTGAGCCTCCTAAGAAAAACCGTTCTGGACGCACCGTAAGGTTCCCAGAACACTTGCACACTTATTTGACTTAACGAAGTCGTGTGATTCACGCAACTCACTCGTTTGTGGTACTATTTTTTTTTTGACGTATAAATTTTTTTTATATACAGTACCACCGAACACAAAAAAAATTGTTTTTTCTCAACAGTTCATGTAACATACCAAAAAAATTAATTAGATGTATTTTTTTTTCGATGTTCTGAACTTAGCATTATTTTACTGTATAGTAAATGCACACAATTTTTTTTAACCAAAAAGGTCATTTCGTACATTTTCCTCGACATGGTTCTTAGCGTTCTTGTTTTCTTTTCCAGGTGCGACGGGCACTGGACGGGAAACAAACGAAGCACGGAATCCAACGAACAACACCAGGAAGCTATGTACAAACACCCCATTAGCATAGGCAGACAAACCAGTAGGCATAAGACCAAGCCGCTCGGAAGATTTTTTTCACCCGAAAGGGAACCATCGAGTTTTTTTTACTTCCGGCTGGTTCTGTCTTAGGGTCCTCACGACCCCACTAGGGGGGAGTGAGCTGTAGCGGTAAATAATTCCCCAAAATTATTGACCACAGCAATCACTCATTGGATGCTGACCACCACTGTTTAAGTCGACTTGTTTAGCTGAAGGCTTCCGGTCAAGCATCCCCGCCATTTGGTACCCCGTCGTGTAACGTGCACGATCACTAGCTAGCTAAGCGTTCGTCTAACGGCTGGTTTTGGTTCCTAAATACATCTCTTCGTTTGGACGACCAATTATTGGCTTTTGCTTTGTCTTTGGTACGCGAGAATAAATTAATTAGAAGTTGTTGAACGAGATATCACGTCAAACCTTTTAATATCTCTCAACCACTAAAGATTCGTTCGAAACAACCTCCCTTCGAAATGACTGTCAACGAGCAGTCTCCATGTGAGGTTTATTGACATCTCTAACATCCAATACAAAATCACCGAAGACAGAGTAGGGGAAAGGATTGACGACGTCGTCACTCCTCCTCAACTCTTCTATCGCTGGAACTCTGAAGAATGGAGATCTCGTAGTTGAAAAAGACCATTCAACCTTCACCATGTACACAATATCTCCTCACTGTCCAATAAAATACAAGCTAACCAAATCGAAATTAGTCATCAACAGTACTCATTGTCAACGTGAGCTACAAATCTTGTCTACTATTTCGTACATATTTCAAGCTTCATAGACACTTGGAAAGAACTGTTTTAAACCACACGATTTATGTACCGCGTTTCGAGAACATACAAAACCCCAGTGAATGATTCTAATACCCCCTCCGTCTATCAACTCGAAAGGTCTCTTCTATGCATGTCTACCCACTGACTTCTGGCGTCATTATCTCTCTTACCTGGTGTCGGTGTCTCACAGAGCTCTAAATTCGGAGCTTCACCACTTGAGTACATAGCTATCAACACGCCTTCAACCTAGGAATCTAGAATAGAGGAATTAACTCTATCGACAATGCACAGTGCACCACAATCATCAGCCTCACGACTAAGTATTAAACCGTGACAGAATCGAGGCTAGTAGCTGATACTGGACCACCTAAGATAAGGTCTCCATAGTGAACACTGTTTCTCAGAGGCGCTGGCTTGTGATTTCACATCATCATCAGTAAGCTGAGAAGGATCTCACCAATAACAAAATACAATACTGCTTGCATCAGAATATTAAGGCGTGATGGTGAGAACTCGCACGTCAAATGGAAGTAAACAGCGCGTGTGGAACTAGTGAGGAGCTGTTGAATCAGTAGTCTAGTCTTCGAAATCCATATATTAGAGAAGTAATCATTGAGTCTCTTGACATTAGGACTGCATTTGATTCGTTCGAAACAACCTCCCTTCGAAATGACTGTCAACGAGCAGTCTCCATGTGAGGTTTATTGACATCTCTAACATCCAATACAAAATCACCGAAGACAGAGTAGGGGAAAGGATTGACGACGTCGTCACTCCTCCTCAACTCTTCTATCGCTGGAACTCTGAAGAATGGAGATCTCGTAGTTGAAAAAGACCATTCAACCTTCACCATGTACACAATATCTCCTCACTGTCCAATAAAATACAAGCTAACCAAATCGAAATTAGTCATCAACAGTACTCATTGTCAACGTGAGCTACAAATCTTGTCTACTATTTCGTACATATTTCAAGCTTCATAGACACTTGGAAAGAACTGTTTTAAACCACACGATTTATGTACCGCGTTTCGAGAACATACAAAACCCCAGTGAATGATTCTAATACCCCCTCCGTCTATCAACTCGAAAGGTCTCTTCTATGCATGTCTACCCACTGACTTCTGGCGTCATTATCTCTCTTACCTGGTGTCGGTGTCTCACAGAGCTCTAAATTCGGAGCTTCACCACTTGAGTACATAGCTATCAACACGCCTTCAACCTAGGAATCTAGAATAGAGGAATTAACTCTATCGACAATGCACAGTGCACCACAATCATCAGCCTCACGACTAAGTATTAAACCGTGACAGAATCGAGGCTAGTAGCTGATACTGGACCACCTAAGATAAGGTCTCCATAGTGAACACTGTTTCTCAGAGGCGCTGGCTTGTGATTTCACATCATCATCAGTAAGCTGAGAAGGATCTCACCAATAACAAAATACAATACTGCTTGCATCAGAATATTAAGGCGTGATGGTGAGAACTCGCACGTCAAATGGAAGTAAACAGCGCGTGTGGAACTAGTGAGGAGCTGTTGAATCAGTAGTCTAGTCTTCGAAATCCATATATTAGAGAAGTAATCATTGAGTCTCTTGACATTAGGACTGCATTTGATTCGTTCGAAACAACCTCCCTTCGAAATGACTGTCAACGAGCAGTCTCCATGTGAGGTTTATTGACATCTCTAACATCCAATACAAAATCACCGAAGACAGAGTAGGGGAAAGGATTGACGACGTCGTCACTCCTCCTCAACTCTTCTATCGCTGGAACTCTGAAGAATGGAGATCTCGTAGTTGAAAAAGACCATTCAACCTTCACCATGTACACAATATCTCCTCACTGTCCAATAAAATACAAGCTAACCAAATCGAAATTAGTCATCAACAGTACTCATTGTCAACGTGAGCTACAAATCTTGTCTACTATTTCGTACATATTTCAAGCTTCATAGACACTTGGAAAGAACTGTTTTAAACCACACGATTTATGTACCGCGTTTCGAGAACATACAAAACCCCAGTGAATGATTCTAATACCCCCTCCGTCTATCAACTCGAAAGGTCTCTTCTATGCATGTCTACCCACTGACTTCTGGCGTCATTATCTCTCTTACCTGGTGTCGGTGTCTCACAGAGCTCTAAATTCGGAGCTTCACCACTTGAGTACATAGCTATCAACACGCCTTCAACCTAGGAATCTAGAATAGAGGAATTAACTCTATCGACAATGTGCAGTGCACCACAATCATCAGCCTCACGACTAAGTATTAAACCGTGACAGAATCGAGGCTAGTAGCTGATACTGGACCACCTAAGATAAGGTCTCCATAGTGAACACTGTTTCTCAGAGGCGCTGGCTTGTGATTTCACATCATCATCAGTAAGCTGAGAAGGATCTCACCAATAACAAAATACAATACTGCTTGCATCAGAATATTAAGGCGTGATGGTGAGAACTCGCACGTCAAATGGAAGTAAACAGCGCGTGTGGAACTAGTGAGGAGCTGTTGAATCAGTAGTCTAGTCTTCGAAATCCATATATTAGAGAAGTAATCATTGAGTCTCTTGACATTAGGACTGCATTTGATTCGTTCGAAACAACCTCCCTTCGAAATGACTGTCAACGAGCAGTCTCCATGTGAGGTTTATTGACATCTCTAACATCCAATACAAAATCACCGAAGACAGAGTAGGGGAAAGGATTGACGACGTCGTCACTCCTCCTCAACTCTTCTATCGCTGGAACTCTGAAGAATGGAGATCTCGTAGTTGAAAAAGACCATTCAACCTTCACCATGTACACGATATCTCCTCACTGTCCAATAAAATACAAGCTAACCAAATCGAAATTAGTCATCAACAGTACTCATTGTCAACGTGAGCTACAAATCTTGTCTACTATTTCGTACATATTTCAAGCTTCATAGACACTTGGAAAGAACTGTTTTAAACCACACGATTTATGTACCGCGTTTCGAGAACATACAAAACCCCAGTGAATGATTCTAATACCCCCTCCGTCTATCAACTCGAAAGGTCTCTTCTATGCATGTCTACCCACTGACTTCTGGCGTCATTATCTCTCTTACCTGGTGTCGGTGTCTCACAGAGCTCTAAATTCGGAGCTTCACCACTTGAGTACATAGCTATCAACACGCCTTCAACCTAGGAATCTAGAATAGAGGAATTAACTCTATCGACAATGTGCAGTGCACCACAATCATCAGCCTCACGACTAAGTATTAAACCGTGACAGAATCGAGGCTAGTAGCTGATACTGGACCACCTAAGATAAGGTCTCCATAGTGAACACTGTTTCTCAGAGGCGCTGGCTTGTGATTTCACATCATCATCAGTAAGCTGAGAAGGATCTCACCAATAACAAAATACAATACTGCTTGCATCAGAATATTAAGGCGTGATGGTGAGAACTCGCACGTCAAATGGAAGTAAACAGCGCGTGTGGAACTAGTGAGGAGCTGTTGAATCAGTAGTCTAGTCTTCGAAATCCATATATTAGAGAAGTAATCATTGAGTCTCTTGACATTAGGACTGCATTTGATTCGTTCGAAACAACCTCCCTTCGAAATGACTGTCAACGAGCAGTCTCCATGTGAGGTTTATTGACATCTCTAACATCCAATACAAAATCACCGAAGACAGAGTAGGGGAAAGGATTGACGACGTCGTCACTCCTCCTCAACTCTTCTATCGCTGGAACTCTGAAGAATGGAGATCTCGTAGTTGAAAAAGACCATTCAACCTTCACCATGTACACAATATCTCCTCACTGTCCAATAAAATACAAGCTAACCAAATCGAAATTAGTCATCAACAGTACTCATTGTCAACGTGAGCTACAAATCTTGTCTACTATTTCGTACATATTTCAAGCTTCATAGACACTTGGAAAGAACTGTTTTAAACCACACGATTTATGTACCGCGTTTCGAGAACATACAAAACCCCAGTGAATGATTCTAATACCCCCTCCGTCTATCAACTCGAAAGGTCTCTTCTATGCATGTCTACCCACTGACTTCTGGCGTCATTATCTCTCTTACCTGGTGTCGGTGTCTCACAGAGCTCTAAATTCGGAGCTTCACCACTTGAGTACATAGCTATCAACACGCCTTCAACCTAGGAATATAGAATAGAGGAATTAACTCTATCGACAATGCACAGTGCACCACAATCATCAGCCTCACGACTAAGTATTAAACCGTGACAGAATCGAGGCTAGTAGCTGATACTGGACCACCTAAGATAAGGTCTCCATAGTGAACACTGTTTCTCAGAGGCGCTGGCTTGTGATTTCACATCATCGTCAGTAAGCTGAGAAGGATCTCACCAATAACAAAATACAATACTGCTTGCATCAGAATATTAAGGCGTGATGGTGAGAACTCGCACGTCAAATGGAAGTAAACAGCGCGTGTGGAACTAGTGAGGAGCTGTTGAATCAGTAGTCTAGTCTTCGAAATCCATATATTAGAGAAGTAATCATTGAGTCTCTTGACATTAGGACTGCATTTGATTCGTTCGAAACAACCTCCCTTCGAAATGACTGTCAACGAGCAGTCTCCATGTGAGGTTTATTGACATCTCTAACATCCAATACAAAATCACCGAAGACAGAGTAGGGGAAAGGATTGACGACGTCGTCACTCCTCCTCAACTCTTCTATCGCTGGAACTCTGAAGAATGGAGATCTCGTAGTTGAAAAAGACCATTCAACCTTCACCATGTACACGATATCTCCTCACTGTCCAATAAAATACAAGCTAACCAAATCGAAATTAGTCATCATCAGTAGTCATGCACCGTCGAAATGGAAAGTTCATACGCATGCAGTCGAATTCAGTAGTCACTTTTTGAAACGTATAGCACAACGTTATCATGTAGGTGGTGAAGGGCGATTTAGTAGAAGTGATTGAACGCCGAATTAGGCCTATCGGAAATGAGAGATTTGCGAATCTTCGGCATTTTTTACGGGAGGTAGAAATATGTGCTCTTTGACATATCTCATGAGGTTAATGGACGTGTTTTGTAAGAATGTTTTTATTTTAATTGATGCGTATATGAGGCGTTTTCAGTGGGCGTTCAATATATTGGTTTTATAGAAGTTTATCAAAACAGTTTTGGAAGCGACTGTTTTGTTAATTTTCTGTTTGGAAAGCACTAGAATATAACTTTTGTATGGACATAGGGAAGGATTTTTGCAACACAAATAGGGAAGGAAAATGGCTGGTATTGTCCGTTAAAGAATAAAATCCATGAAAGTGCCAATGAATATTTGGTAAGATTTTCATGTGTGTCATCATATACACCGAAGGGAAGACTTCACAGGGATAAAGGAAAAGTCAATCAATGTGTTATTAGTAATACAGTTTTAGAATGACAGGGAAGCTTTGGAAATGTTTACATGTTCTGTACAAATACATGCGAATCACAAAAGAAGCAAAATGTAATACTTCTGGAATAATGTAATCACCCCGTTAACAAGAAGCGACGGTACTAGTAGCGTTTTCGTCTAGCAGATCGATGAATATGTTCCTAAAAGCACTTGTACGAAGTAATACGACTAAAGCTTAAATCAAAATTCTTCCGGCTCTTCGTTTCCGGGAGTAGTAAAGCCATCCTGTAAATCGTAGAAATGGAAATTTAGAAATTAATTCAGTAAAACAGAAATAAATCCCACATAAAACAACACTGGGATATAAATATGGAAAACCAAGACAAGACACCTGCACTACTAGTTACCTACGGAGGTCAGCCGTAAATGGCAGGTTGCAAAATGACTATTAGTAGCCAGAATGCCTAAACAATGCAGTCAGCTGAAGACGATTCTGGTCCATTCTCCCTTACAAATACAAAAAATATACCCGAGGAAATATTTGACCACTAACTTACTTCTGTCGCATAGAGAATTTCCAAGATATCCTTAGTCAACTCGACAGTTCCATTGTTTTGACAAATTATTTCAATCCTGCGCAACTTGTCGAAGTAGAAATCTCGCTCACGAACAAGTCCTGCAATGGCTGCTTTGTGTTGTTCAGACTAAAAGGAAGAAAAACAAAACGCACTGGAGAGTTATGCAAACTCGGGGAGTCCACAAATGTTATACCCACATACACAAACTGGGATACAGCCAAATCAATCACCAACTGCCACAGAGACAACCAAAAATTATCATAATTATGGATATGCATAGACATGCCCGCACTAAATTTGCGTCGTAAGGTTTTCACAAGTTCAAGTCTGTCTATGGTTCGGCACTTGCGTGATCCAGTAACATTTACGCCTTGTGATTAGCAATGCAAGTTCTCTGTTACCCACTCTCAACCACTCATTTAGTCTCTTCGACATCACTCTAACGCAATGAAACAGGACTGGACATTAGAATTGACTGCAGTCTAACCCTCAAATAAAAACTTACTTACCAAACCTAATGATACCGTATGGCTTCACAAGCTATGGAGACTGAGATGTCCTAGGATTTCTGACCCCAAGAATCATAAGGACAACGGACGAAGCTTCTGCAGTCACCACTCAGGTCTTCCATGATCGGAATTCACAATAAGCCTATCCAGCGGAGGTGGAAAGTAATAAGATACGTACAACATTTGAACTTAGTACAGTATTTCTATCAAGAAATTAAACCTCATTAATGAGGGAACTTAGGATAACTAGATGAATTAAAAACTCATTAGTTCATAAAAAACGTGAAAACTAACTTCGACAGTCAGTAAATCAAATTGTTCTTTTAAGCCAGTAAGATCTGCGGTATCTCCTCCAGCATCGTTGGAAAGTCCTGACACAGCGGATTGTCTACTTCGTACAGTTGTAGATACTAATAGTAGAAAAAGAAATTCACAGTAGTAGATATTTGTTCTGAAAATGAGAAGCAAGCACAATTTACCCAACTGACCTCTAATGTAAGAACATTTACTTACAAGAAAACAACCTATGACTCAACCGCAAAGAATTACAATGACAAATTATGGCAGACTGGATTTCTCGGAGTGGCCACCAGTAGTTGAATAGTTGGGGTATACAGTGTACGAGCCAATTCCGCCAATACGTTTTCAACTACATCAAGTTGTCCTAGAGGACAGACTTCCCAACCAGCTTGTATTAAACTTTGATAACAAATGAGTAGATGATAACAAAGCACTACACAACCTCAATAGCTAATGAGGTTTCCGAAAGCACTGAAAACTTAGCATTGAGACAAGGGGCAAAATATTTATCAGAACTAATGCGAGTGTTTTTGCTATGTACACTGCGTTCTAGCCATCATCCTTGACCTACCCTGTTTTTGACCTGTAGGTCTGCTACTCGCTGTTGGATTTGGCCGCGGTGGGACAATACTAGACTGAGTTGGTCTGCCGCTACCGACTATTTTCTCTCCTCCTCTTGCTGCGGAGGCATCATACGGGTGGCCATCATAGTTGGCGTCGAAGAAGCGTTTGAACCACTGGACAAACTCAAAGTTGTCCTGGAACTTTCCCTTGACTAGTTTTTCGATTGGAACTTCCTATGGAAAGTAGGCATTTTCTTATTGCTTACTTTATCTACGCCGTGTTTCCTAAACAGAGACTGTAAAACTTTGAAGTTATTGATGCTCTCGTGTTCAAGTTTGGTGTTGAATTTCACTTTCTTGAAGACCAGTGTCCCTGAAACAACATTTATAATGCTTGGAAACCTTACCTGGAAATAACATATCTACTAGTTGGCAATATGCTGCACCTGAAAACAATGCAATCCACACCACTCACAAATACCTGTACATAATTCCTCAATCTTTCCATAATTGCTATCCAGACAATGGTTAACCCACTGAAGTATTTCATTTCTGCTCAAGTTGTCTGTCATTTGACTTGTGCTGTAGACGTTAACTGCCTGAGGCACTGCCGCCATCGTTGCAAGGAATGTAAAAGTAGTGAGACGACTCAGATATGCCGCTCAATTCACTCAGCAATAAGTACTACATCGTCACACATAAAAACACCAATGAAATATTGTCTAATCACTCAACTTCTTGTTGAGCGATTATTATTTTCAGGATTATAGAGTGAAATTATATGATTGTCAGTGTATCTCAAAATTGGCAGCCTGTATACGGCAGTAGGTCATTTGATCAGCTATTAAATGTTGACGGATATCTCGTTCAGCAATTTCTAATTAATTTATTCTCGCGTACCAAAGACAAAGCAAAAGCCAATAATTGATTGTCCAAACTTCGTAATATATTCTGGGACCAAAACAAGCCGTCAGACGAACGCTTGACTAGCTAGTGATCGTGCACGTGGCACAACGGGGTACCAAATGGCGGGGATACTTGACCGGAAGCCTTCAGCTTAACAAGTCGACTTAAACAGTGGTGGTCAGCTTCCAATGAGTGATTGCTGTGGTCAATAATTTTGGGGAATTATTCACCGCTACAGCTCACTCCCCCACTATTGGGGTCGTGAGGACCCTAAGACAGAACCAGCCGGAAGTAAAAAAACTCGATGGTTCCCTTTCGGGTGAAAAAAATCTTCCGAGCGGCTTGGTCTTATGCCTACTGGTTTGTCTGCCTATGCTAATAGGGTGTTTGTACATAGCTTCATTGTTGTTGTTCGTTGGATTCCGTGCTTCGTTTGTTTCCCGTCCAGTGCCCGTCGCACCTGGAAAAGAAAACAAGGACGCTAAGAACCATGTCGAGGAAAATGTACGAAATGAGCTTTTTGGTTAAAAAAAATTGTGTGCATTTACTATACAGTAAAATAATGCTAAGTTCAGAACATCGAAAAAAAATACATCTAATTAATTTTTTGTGTATGTTACATGAACTGTTGGAAAAAAATTTTTGTGTTCGGTGGTACTGTATATAAAAAAATTGATACGTCAAAAAAAATAGTTAGTACCACAAACGAATGAGTTGCGTGAATCACACGACTTCGTTAAGTCAAATAAGTGTGCAGATATTCTGGGAACCTTACGGTGCGTCCAGAACGGTTTTTCTTAGGAGGCTCAACCTTAGTAGCCAGTGGGCGAATGCCCTTGCAGTCAATAGTGTGACCCAGGAAGTCGAGTGAGTCAACACCGATTTGACACTTTTGAATATTGATGGTAACACCATGTTGGCGTAACCTGTCAAATGCCAAGTCCAAGTGCCTAAGGTGAGTTTCCTTGTCTGGACTGGCAATGAGGCAGTCGTCTAAGTATGCGTATACAAAGTCGAGACCGCGAAATACTTCGTCAATGAAGCGTTGGAATGTTTGGGCTGCATTCCGAAGACCGAATGGCATACGTAGAAATTCAAAAAGTCCGAAAGGCGTAATGATAGCCGTTTTCGGGATATCTTCTGTTGCCATCGGGATTTGGTTATACGCTTTAACCAAGTCGATTTTGGAGAATATAGTCGCGCCGGATAAGGTTGCCGTCAAGTCGTGTATATGAGGCAACGGGTAGCAATCAGGGGTTGTTTTGGCATTCACTCGCCGGTAATCACCGGTGGGTCGCCAATCATTGCTATCCTTTTTCGGAACCATATGAAGTGGGGATGCCCATGGGCTATTCGAAGGTCGAATGATGCCAAGGTAAGCATATGGTCAAATTCATTCCTGGCGATTCTCAGTTTGTCAGGAGCTAATCGTCGTGCTTTAGATGTCACAGGTTGTCCTGTGGTAATGATGTGGTGCATAACATTGCTGGTTATGCACGGTAGGTCGTTCGACGGGCAATTAAGTTCCGGATACTTGTCAACAATAGGTTGAAAAGTTGGATCAAGGATTGCCTTTATCTTAACGGGTGACAAGCTAGGGCCTATGTAGGTGATGCCTTTGATAGACAGACTAGTAGTATTGTCAATCAGTCGTTTTCGGCGGACGTCTACGAGTAAATCATGATGATTAAGTAGGTCCGTGCCAATGATGGGCATTGTAACGTCAGCGAGAAGGAAAATCCATCGAATAGGTTTGCGTAAACCTACGTTCAGATAGACGTATTTCCTACCAAAGGTTGCGATTGGTTTTCCATTTGCAGCCTGTAAGTTGAAGGTAGGTTCCTTCTGTCGATCTGCTGCTGTAGCAGGAAGGACGCTGACTTCGGCGCCTGTGTCGACTAAGTATCGAGTCTGGCTTATCACATCATGGATGTAAAAAGGCGGCTAGTGCCACCGGCGACGGTTGCCGCTAACGCGTGCCGGCGGGATAGTTTCCCGCAGACTTTGAGACATTTCCGAAGTTACAAGGCTTACGGCAACACTTCGCTTCTTGGCCATAGGTGTTGTGGTACCAGCACCAGTCAGGGTTTTTCAGTGAACGTGGTTTGGACTTAGATCGACCACGTGAGTTCCTGCGTTGAGGAGATTTAGGACGACGGTCAGAGGAATTAAAATGCTGAATGGAGTTGCATAACTCTATCATTGCAGGATCCTTACTCGAAGTCTGCTTAGTCATCGAGCATATTTCGGGAACAGACCGTTTGGTAATCTCTAGAATCCTATCTGCAGTAATAGCTAAGTCCTCTATTACAGTACCCTGAAGTGTCACAAGTACGGTCTGTACAGACTGTGGCAACTTGGATAAGAAGAGTTCTCTAAATAGTCCTTCGTCGAACTGACTTTGGCCGACGATTTCTTTCATTCTTGTCAGCATGCTCACGGCTGACTGATCTCCTAACTCGATGTTACGAAATAATTCATCTAGACGTTGTCGGTCCGTGAGAACGTTTCTCCTGAGGAGGGATGCTTTCAGCAACTCGTACGAGTTACTTACCTCGGGACTCAACATCTGTGATGTTACGTACTTGCTGAATTCCCGCGGTAGGGCGTGAATAACTGCAAGTAACTGTGAACGTTGATCGGTTATCCCATGCTCACAAAAATCTGCTTCAGCTAGCAGAAACCACGTTTCAGCATTATCTGGCCAGTATGGTACGAGCTGAATGGTTTTAGGAGTTGAGCGGATACGGATGACCTTGGGACTAAGATCACTCATGACGAAAATTATGTCGAATAATATATGGTACAAGAACAAATACAAAATGGAACGAACTCACCGGGGTTATCTGCAGATTTATCGTGGATGAAGTTCGCGGTTGGGCTCACCAGTTTAAAGGTTGACGGATATCTCGTTCAGCAACTTCTAATTAATTTATTCTCGCGTACCAAAGACAAAGCAAAAGCCAATAATTGATCGTCCAAACTTCGTAATATATTCTGGGACCAAAACAAGCCGTCAGACGAACGCTTAGCTAGCTAGTGATCGTGCACGTGGCACAACGGGGTACCAAATGGCGGGGATGCTTGACCGGAAGCCTTCAGCTAAACAAGTCGACTTAAACAGTGGTGGTCAGCATCCAATGAGTGATTGCTGTGGTCAATAATTTTGGGGAATTATTTACCGCTACAAGCTGATGGATATTGGCTTTATTTATTGGAAGAAACCTCAGAATTAGGTAATTTTTCGTTGTTTTATACACTTTTATCACTAATATTTCTGCTAAAGTTGATGAAATACGGCATAGTTAGCAGAACGTGTATTTGATGGTGTCCTTATCCGGCCGTAGCTTACAGGCAGTTAACAGTTTGTTGGTAAAACGTACTTTTCCTTTCAGAATATGTCGAATTACTTGAAGACATGTTATAACGACTTTTTGTGATTTTTTTGCATTTGAATGTATTACACATGAACATGGTGAGGAGGGATAGCTCGTTTTGGTAACTATGTTACTTCCTTTGTTGTGTACTTTTCCTAATGCTGACAGGGCTGCACATGTATTTCTTTAAGAAAAATCTGCAGAAATACTTAGAAATTATATATGCATAGTCTTTCCTTATTTTATGGCATAAACTTTACGTTTGCAGGCGGATGCACTATCGACTGTGTATAATTGAAAAATGTTGACTGATGTAATTATGTACAATTCAACTAATTATTTCGTCATTTTAAACATATTTAACGGGTAATTATTGTGTTTACGCTGGTAACAATGTCCACATCTGTATAATTCTTATGTTCTATTTCAGATAATATCTACTTTCGGAAAATTTCATGGATTTGGGCGATAAAGAAAAAGATGCCTGCACCGTTTTCGATTTGGTACTAAGTGTTAATCCATTAATAAATGTATTCCTCGTTATTCGTTTGTTTATTCTACTCGATAGGACCGAATATTAGCTCTTGCGTAATTTGTGAGGTAGAGTATATGAGGCTATCTTTGACATACTAAGTAGGAGCAGATATTCGGAGAAGACTATTGGCAAGAAATTATGTTGTAGTCAAATAAAGTAAATATGTCTGAATTGTAGAGGAGGTATTGCGATTATAAAGAATTAAGAGATATCTACCATATTAGTAGAATACAAATACTGATTCGCGACTCATAGTCAAAAAGTGAAAATAAATCAACCACAGATAATAATAATAATTTTCATTTTCATATAAACATAAATTTACATGAAATGCATGCCATTTTTACTGGCACGATCAAGTATGGTATAATGTCAAATCGTAGATTGTCTACAAGTTAATAATGTATCAACAGTTAAATATTTGATATATATATATAATTACACTCATTGTCTGAACCAGGCCGTATGGTTATTGAATTGTACAGTTGTCCTCCAGGTTGAGCGGGAAAATCGACTTCGTTTCGTTTTCATCCCGTGGTTGTAGGCATACGATAACCAACCAATATTGAGGTAAGTACAACGTTTACAAGGGATTGGAAGCTGTTTTAGAAAAGTTGAAGTGCTAATGTGAATCATTAAAGCGTAATAAATTAAGCAAGTGCAATATATCATTAATAAACACATTTATATAGAAAACACAATGGGGAAGTAATTAATCCTTAGGCCGACAATGTTCATTTGCAATGTAAAATAATATTGTCAGCCACGTCTCGTAAACCGTTAACGCCCAGCTCTTGCT